CTTGCGACATCCCTCGCATGGTCTGCGAACGTGAAGAGTGGATCAAAAGGGAACAAAGGCCGTTGGTCCTTAAATACGCTGCCACCGACACAAGGCGACACACTGCTGTTGGAGACACGAGATTCAGCTGCTGAAGACACGTGACTCTGTTGCCCTAGACGAGACCGACGACAGAACACCCGCTGCTGACGGACGCAGGACAAGCTACCGGACACACAAAAGACAGAGCTCATGTACAAGCAGAAACAGTGACAGTAAACTATTATCTGCTATCCTTTTCTAACACGCAACAGGGGGATATAACCAATGTCGACGCAGGCACACACGCAAGGTTATAACAGAAACCAAGCGCCAGATCCTGGGTTGATTGACCCCACTTCCTGTACTCTCCAGCGTGTCAGCGTTTAATTGAATTTAAGACAACTGATAATGAGATTAGAACAAATGAATGACTGACTGACGGGCTACATATTCCGACTTGACTGCCTACAGTGCACACATTGTGACAGCACTCTCAACTTCTCATTAGGGCAACATTTCGAAGAGGCTGGAAGCGGCGCAATCCAGGAGGACAACCAGACGGTAAAAAAACAGAAAGACAACTTACGAGAACCGCTCCAGGGCACAGTCGGGATGCCCGCACTCTGCGCCAGAATGGTCGAGGCGATCTTGTCGCCGAGTGCCCACATGGCGTCGTGATCGGGACCTGTAGAAGGGAAAAAAGGGGGGAGGGTTAGGAATTGACGCGTAAGTTGGTGACCAAACTCGGTCATAATTAACCAATGTATTACCGGCAAACGTTAGGAGTGCAGAATACGCGTATTTCTAGCTTATTAGCTTTCGTCAACTGCACATACCCAACTCCAGTATAGCCGCAGAAACTGCCGCTACACACGAGTTTCAACCAGTGAGCTAGAGACGAACGTCCTATCCACTGAGCCAACGGGTCGACGTCTTGCCGGTTGTCGATCGGTCATAATTACACATTTAAAAGACATGGAAACGCGGGCGCTTGATGCTGCTGCTATTTGTGCAGGATCGCGCAGCATGCAGGCAGATGTGTGCAGGCAGGGTGTGAACGCAACTGACTGCCTGATACGTGTCAACTCGGTGTCAATGTAGGCCCAGGCGCGTGCTGCACATTCCAATTAGACCTAACATCCTGTCAAACTGAATGCTCCTCTGTCGGGGTGTGATTAGTCATACCATCCAAGGTGAGACCCTGTTTGGCCTCGTAATATGACACATCAACAGGCTGAGGGCTTCGAAGCACGTATTGGGTTTTGTAGGTTTACCACCAAAATGGTTACGCTAGTTAGACGTGTCAATTCAAGCATCAGTCGCGGTAGAAACCATGAAAAGGCCCCCCAACAAGCAATGATGCAATTTTTAAAAAAATGTTGGCGGCCACTAGCATTTAACTCGAGAGAAAATAAGGCACAAGTATTTGCTAGGAAATAAGAGCATCTGCGTCTGCGACGACTGGGGGGTGAGGCGAGGGATGTCATCGTTCACTCCCTCGACTGGTGACATTTCAACCAGGTCGCGCACAAACCGTAGCCTGCGATTCGTGATCTGGATTCAGGCAGACTGTTTCGGAATATCACATGAATCTGCAGGCGGCGCCTACTGAAACTTTGTTTCTAAACCCCTTATTACAAACTCGATGCCAACCTAGATTCCGACCACAGAGCAGCCCCTCGCGACTTTGCTGCTCCTCCTCCTCGCCGCCGGGATTGAGGTCCGCCTGGCGGGGCTCCGGATCCAACAAGGGCTACTAGCCAGCCAGCCGACCACCTTTATGACTCTTTGATTTTGAATAAAAGCATTGAAGGCAGTCCAGTGCTTGACCATCA